ACGAAACGGCTACATCCTAGAACGAGAGGCATCACCCGAAAATCATATTTGTATTTGGCTTTGCACAAACTTAATCTAATGTTACTCGCTGTACTTTGGCAACAATTTATTTTTTACTGAATATTGTTGGGGTACCTAAATATGCATTATGGTAAAAGAACTAGCTTGTCGTAATTTGGTGTATCGATGTTACTCTTCCGTTTCATTTACCTACACGGAAAGGTAATAGTTAATATTTTAACGATAAAATTCTTAAAACATCATAAATTGTATTCAAAAGAAATTATTTACTAACTAAAGGCAAAACATCAAGTCCCGACGGGCGTGCGCGTGACACTCGACTGATATAATACCCGCCGGCGGGGCGCTCCGCTGTAGGTAATTATCGGATGTACCGCGCGGAGTGGCGCTAGGTCGATCATCGTCGCAATCAAGGTTTATTGTTCCAACAGCACTGTTACTCTTCTTTAGAATGGACAATCGTAATCCTTAGGAATAATTAATATAGGTAAATTAAATAATTGAAAAAATGCATTTTTAAAATAATTTTGAAGGACTTTATGACCAAAAACTGTATCAAAAAGATTATTTTAACTAAAAGTCTTCCTGTATAAACAAGATTGAAATACCAATTCTCTTAGCGTAACGACATCAATGAATCCATATTTACACAGAAACCTTGCTGGCGGCAGGCTAGACGTGATCCGGCAGCTAATTAGGTTTCTTTTGAGTTTGTTTTCTGTAGCGACCTAAATAAAAATATGGATACAGTAGGCTCACTCATTTTTGTCTGAAAAGTTCTCAAGTGGACCGACGATCTGGTGAAAGTCGCAGGAGGTGCCTGGATGCGGGTGGTTCAGGACCGGTCGCTATGGAAATCCCTGGGGGAGGCCTTTGCCTTTGAACAGCAGCGGACGTCTTTTGGCTGAAACGACTTATTGTCTGATAGGTAGGTGAACTACGATGCATGTTCAAAGCTGAATGCTAAGCGTGATGATGGCGTAAACAACAAGTTGTACGGATGACAGTTAAAACCAAGGTATACATAGTGGCATCATCAGTCATCAAATCTTTAAGTTTAAATAGGTGCAGTTTTGAAACAAAAATTAGTACGATACGGTACAAGTCCACCTATCTATGACAATATTTTTAAAATATCTACATATTTTCGGATACTCTCGTAGGTACATGTACTCGAATGTGCCTAAATGTTTCTTTTTCCACGCAGCTTAGCGTAAACATTTTGATTTCATCCAGGTTATAATAATATGGATCTAATTACACTGTGTCTCATGTCTAATTGAAAGTCAGAAAGAAGTCCAAGAATATTTCGAGTGACAACTTATTATACCTTTGAAGGACCTAAATACCTATCCAGTTACTTTGATTAGGTTGATAACTAATTAGCCCATACTTTAGGACAGATTTTTTTTCGTATTATTTACTACTATGATATAATTAATAAAATCAACTACAAGATTACTTCGAATCAATTTTAAGAGATCAAGAGTATGTCTTTCTTTAATAAAAAACAACCTTGTCTAAGCATTTTCCATCTGTTTATATTTGTTAAGCGACTAGGTAATTATTGGAAAAATAAATTAAGTCCTAATTGAAAACTAGAGATTAATTTAACATTCTTGTTGGCGCAGAGAAAATGTTTGATCAACACAAAATAATTAAGCAATATTAATTTTCTCTGGTTCGATAATTTGGGAAGCCTTTCAATGGATCCAGGGCAGGAGGTGGAAGGAACGGTAATGCTCGATCGACTTCAAATAGTATTATGAACTGAATTAATTAATTATTACAACTGTTATTCAATATTTTTGAGGTTATTATGATCAATGGAAGAACATGCAATGAAAAAGAACTTGATATTTATTTCTAACTAAGCGGTCACCTGCGAATTTTTACGCATGGATCCCAGTTGCCATTTTATAGGTTGAATTTTATTTTACAATATCTCGTCTTAGTAAGGACCTTAAAAATTTGAGACTCCTAGTAAGTACTTGTATTTTCTGAGATTTCGTGATGAGTCAGTCAGTGACCTTTCGCTTTTTAAACAATTCATTATCAATATAGGTAAAGGTACATTTTCATTAGTTTCAATTTCAAAGTGTACCTACATATTTTAAGAGGTACATATTTTGTGTTTGTCTTAAATTCAAAATGTGCAAATTTACATACTGGTTGGCATAATTATACTGCTTGGTAATACATCCTTGTTTTCAAATACAGACAAACCTTACTTTACTCACCGCCATGTTTTTGGGCTTAGAAGAAAACATTTTCTCAAACTCATTTGAAGTGACACCACGTCTGCTGTCTAATGAAAGATACACAGCCGCTGTTCTCTTCCAGTGCTAAGTTAATTTAACAATAACAGGCCAATTTTAAGAAAAGGATAAACGCTAAGAATTTAAGAACCCATTTTGTTTGGCAAGGTGCCAGGCAGCACCTATACGAAAAGATAATATTGGTATTCGTAACATTTTATATTACCATAAGTGTTACTGCAATGAATTCTAGTCTGTTCTACATTAGGCAGAGTGCGGATTGGAACCATTAATAACACAATTAGGAAATGGAGTTACTTTATTCTAAATTTATATTTATATAACTCAAAGGTGACCAGACATAAGGATAAACTTTACTTACCTCAATCAAGAATAAAAATGTTAAATACCAGCCCCTACTACATGTCAGTGAAACTGTACAACAAACTTCCTGAACACATAAAAACCGAACCTAACATTAAACGCTTTTCTAAAGCTCTGAGACAATATTTAATACCTAAATGTTTCTACTCAATTAACGAATATCTAACAACTGACCACCGAAAATGTCTCTAGATACTTTAATTTGTAATCTGCTTTATTTGTCATTTTTTAGCATCGAAGTATGCAATTATGTTACTTCTCATATTATGTATAATGAATGTACTCTGTTGCAATACCTCCTAGGTCACTAAGTCTTAAGGCCATGTGTATGTAATTTCCACCATTACAAAAATTGTCACTTAGTACGCAATAAAAATTTGAATTTGAATTTGACTGACTGACATAGTGATCTATCAACGCACAGCCCAAACCACTGGACGGATCGGGCTGAAATTTGGCATGCAGGTAAATGGTATAACGTAGGCATCCGCTAAGAAAGGATTTTACGAAACTCCATCCCTAAGAGGGTAAAACGGGATCCACGATTTTCTGTGAAGATTCATATTCTCTGGTATTTTTTTGGAACAAAATAAAGGCAAAAGAATCACAAAAGTTTATTTAAGATTGTGGTAAAATGTTGACATTCTATTAATTTATTTGTGTAAAAGATTTTATCAAAGTATTTAGGACGCGAAAAGTGTCCGTCAATTTTGAATCTTTTGTTCGTTTTCCTTGTTGATTGTTTGCGAAATCCCAAAAGTACGGTCCGAGCAAACAAAAATCAAATTAAGTTTTCAAAGGTTTGGCAAAGGACGATTAGAGAGCAGGAATTTAAATGATCTAGTTACAACTCCTATGTCTTACAGGAAAATATTTTTTTGTAAGCAGTTTTTTTATTTATTTTTTGGGCAGGACAACGCAGGTATTTGACCGCAATCGTACCTGGTGTTAAGTTTGTATTCGACATAGGCTCTACGTTCGTGCAAATAGGCTGTGTTCATTATGCACATGAAATAAAAACTCTAAATTTTAGTATAAAAAACCTAAAAAAATATTGTTTTTTTACTTCACCGACGCCGTCTCCTTTTCTTTAGGCGGTAACTTGTCAAAAATTACACACTCTCTCTTAAAAAGTAACCGTTTTCTTCATTATGTATCTGGTATAGTATGTATTTGTATCAATGGGTTACTGTTATAAATTCACTGTAGTACACGCTATTTTATTTGTCTGCGGCTGACTAATTAGTATAATAGAGCAGTTAATAT